TGAAGGTCCCGACTGTCAACAGGCACTTCCCAGTCTCCCAGCCTCGGGCTGGACGGAGTCCGTGGCCCCCAGGCAGCTTCAGCCTGTCCCCGTTACCCAGGAGCCTGACATAATCCTGCCCCGCTCTCAGGCGACAGTGACACTGCCAACCTGGCAGCCGAAAACAGGGCAGAAAGTTGTAGAGATGAAATGGGATCAAGTGGAGGTGAGAATGTTGTATTGCATATATTTTTATGTAAAAACCAGGAAATGTTAAAATAATTCCGGTGATTCTAATATCAGCAATAAAAATTCAAGACCTTTAAATTACCCATTGAGCAAGACAATGTGCCTAAACTTGTTCCTGCCTGCACTTGTGTGTAGGATAGTTTTTTAATATAAAAAGAGTAAACAAGAAAAGTGATTCTAATATCAGCAATAAAAATTCAAGACCTTTAAATTACCCATTGAGCAAGACAATGTGCCTAACCTTGTTCCTGCCTGCACTTGTGTGTAGGATAGTTTTTTAATATAAAAAGAGTAAACAAGAAAAGAAAATGAATGAAATTATTTTCTGGAATGATATCCACATACATTTCTGTGAGATGATCTTAGATTTGGGGACAGACAGCTCAATGTACAGTCATATAGAGAAACATCTCACAGGACTCCTTCCTGGAGTATGCCTTTTGGGTTGCTATAACAAAAATGCCACAGGCTGGTGACTTGTAAATGACAAACATTTATTCCTCAGAGTTCTGGAGGCGGGCAAGTCCAAGATTAAGACAGATTTAGAGTCTGGTTCTTCACGGAGGGCACCTTCTCATGTAACCTCACATGAGAAAGGGGTGAAGAGCTCCCTCAGGTCTCTTCTTTAAGGGCACTAATTCTATTTGTGAGGACTGAACCCCCTCACCTAATCACCTCCCAAAGGCCCCACCTCCTAATACCATCACCTTGGTGGTTAAGGACTTCAACATATGAATTTTGGGGGCACTCAAATATTTAGGCCACAGCAGAGTATTATGCTCAACTATTTATTTATTTTTTGTCATTGTTTATGTACTATTTTTAGTACCTTGCAGTACTTCAGTGAGATTTAGAAAAAAGAAGCTATCATTGATTTTTGAAATAGTTTGAGAATGTATTTGTGAATGAAATTTTCAGATTTTATTTATTTTGGCAATAGCAAATTCTGTTTGTTGGAACTTGTCACATCTGGGTTTGGCTCTTGTGTCTTCCAGCTCTTCAAAAGTCTCATTCTGAGAGTTTTTTAGCAGTCCTCTAAAAGTTAACATAAAATATAAATTTGCCTACTAGAAGAGCTGGGAAACAAATTCAAATATGAATTTAAGATGACATGGATAGGGTATAATTTCATCCCATATATTATACTTTAAATGTATGACGTCTGTATAGACCTGTGGTAGCATATTATTACATATTTTGTTGTTTAAATGAAAAAAACACATAGATCTTTGTATAGCACATATTAGAGTCAGGCAGATGTGCAGAAATTTCCCTTATTATTATAAAAGAGGTAGGAAGCAATTCTACTTGTATTTTCTTGGGCAATTCTAACCAGTTGACCCACTTTTTTTTTTTTTCTTAATTGCCACACAGTTTATGAAGGCCGCATTCAGACTGCAGGGCAATGCTTTTGGCCTACCTAAAAAAACTGTGAACTTGTTCTGATTTCAGACTTTTAATAAATGCTTTGAACTTGTGTTTTAATACCTCACTGCTGGGTGACTCACTTCTTGAATGTGAACTAGATTTGATTCCAAGTTTATCAAGAAAGTGTCCTTTAAAGAAAATTTCTCCCCCACCAGCCATTTCAATCTATTTATTTGAAGTTGTGCTGTCCTATGGCTGGTAAGTGTGAAAGACATGCTTCGTCTTCTTGTCACCCGTCATTTTTTAGGCTGTTCAAGAAGCAGTTTAAAAGTACCAGAGGAAAACATGTGAATATGTTTGGGCTTCCCCTTTTCATGAAGTAATGATGCTTTGAAAATATAAAGTTATTTGAAGTCTTAGAGGACTCAAACTTCTGTAATAGTCATCTGTTACACAAATTTGATGTGTTGGACTCACATCTTTGAATGCCAGTAGTGGGCTTCAGCCACATCATGGACTATAGGGCATTCTGGAAAATAAGTTGCTGTCATCGATTTTTAAAATATTTTGAGAATGTATTTGAGAATGAAATTTCCAAATTTTATTTATTCTGGCAATAGCAAATTCTGTTTGTCGAAACTTGTTCCGTGTTGATTGTGGGAGAAAATTGTTGAGAATTTCTGTATCGTTCTCAGTTAACTCTGTGATGATAAATACTTTTAATATCCCTTCATTTTCATTGTCATGGGTGAGGACAATAATCACAGCCTGAGGACCAGATGCATATGTTGGTCAGAGAACCTCACAGGATGCAGCTCGTGTTCCCAATAAGCTTGTTGGTGAGCACAGTTCCTTCTGCCCCCAATTGGACTCCTTTTTAAAATACACATCAGTATAATACTTTTGGGAATGTGTCAGTTAAAAACTGAAGGTGTAGCCCACAGGAAGACGGGCAGCTTCCGAGCTCCAAGGCCTGAGCACGTGCTCCTGAGACCCAGCAGCAGAGAAGACCCAGCAGCACAGAGAAGCACATACCGATCGCCTGTTCCAAGTTTGAAGCTTCGCTCTCCTTGTCATTAAGGTTTATACCTGCCATTTACAAGCCAGTCCTTAAAGGTTACTTTTTTGTTCTTTAAGCATTTAGTCCCTCAATACCACCAGGCTGAACATAGAGCAGGGGCCAATGGCTGCTTGTTGGATGAAAGGAAAGAGAGTAGGAAGGAAATCCGCCTTTTTCTCCCTGCAATATCCTATTTACCAGTTTAACAATCCCAGGAATTTTAGACTGTTCTCAGGAAGGCTTCTGCATTTTAGAAAATCAAATGGCACAGCTTTCATTTTCTTTTGAGTTCATAAGGTTTTACTTGTCCCCTCTCTGTTCCCACCTCAGCATCATCTAAAGGAACGGAGTAGACTCAGTTCATGGAATTTTGCCTTACAATATTATTTTGTACTGTGATGAATCCCAGTAAGTGCCTTTTT